GAGGGTTTTACTTGCCTGGGTCTGCCGATTTCTCGCTGTTCAGCCGCCAGCACCAGAAGGCTCCCCCCATGCTCACGGTCAACAGGATGAGGGTCAGCACGATGTATCCCGACTTCGAGAAGGATGTCTGTCCCCCTGAAGCAGCAGAGAGAGGCGCTGAGCGGCGGTCGGGACGGCAGAGGGGCCCCAGCCCACCCCAAGGCTAAGCTGAGACACGGGGGACAAAGCCAGCCTTGCACCAGAGCCAGCAAGGTGGTCTCAGACTGGGTGCTGGGGTGTCTCTGAGATGTTTGAGTGTGACAAGTCCCCACCAAGAGGAGATTCATGTCACGTTCCCCCCCGTCCTGGCACCGAGTGGTGAGCAGCATGCGGAGTTGGGCTTTCGAGGGGTCACGGGAGCATCTTTGCTGCTCGCCGGAGTGATTGAGCCATCGGGATCTCACCTTCGCCTTGGCAGATAGTTTGCAGGTCAAAGAAGACGACCTTCTGATCGGCTGGGTTGCTGACGGTGCAGACGTAGGTGGCGTTAGCGGCGCTGGGCGGCAGGGCCAGGCGCAGCACAGTCCCGTCCGAGGAGAGCTGGTGCCGGTCGGAGCCCAGCTCCCGGGTGGTGTTGCCCTTCTTCCAGGTGACGTTCACGGCGCCCTTGCCCGAGCCCTGGCACTGCAGCGTGAGGTTGCACCACTCCACTGTGCTGGCCAGGACCTGACTGCGGGTCCGGGGGCTTGGCACTGACTCTGCATCAACCAGGGAGACGGGTCAGCCGGCTCCGTCCCCAGGGAGCCTCATCTGCCCTCAGCTGGGGAGAGGAGCAGACTGCACAGATTTCTCTGCCCAAACTGCCCTGTTCATCATGCTAATCACTCTTGCCCCAAGCTAGCACAGCACCATGGGGCAAAGCACAGCCGCAACCACCCTGGAGAGGTCCCGCAATTTAAACCAACACATGGGAAAGGGCTCGCTCCAGTGCTGCGTGCCTGAGGGCCGCTCACATAAGGGTTTTGGAGGCCCTGTGCCTTGATTTCCCCGTACGGTGGCAGGGATTGCATTATTGCACCCACTTCCAGATTTACTGTTTTGTTCCCAGGCTCTGCCAAACCCCAGTGTGCAGCCGCTCACCATAGACAGAGAGGTTGAAGGACTGATCCTCCACCAGCGCCGGGTGCAATTTAATCCGAGCCCCGTAGACCCCGCTGTCGCCCAGCTCCAGCGCCCCGATCCGCAGCGCCGTCTCGTTGAACATCTCCAGCCTCTGCTTGAACGGGGGGGGGGCGCGTCAAACCTGCCCGGGCTGAACTCCGCCACCTGGATCGTTGTGCCGGTGCCGGCCGAAAAGCTCCACTCGATCTCCTTCACCCTCGCGTCGGGGGGCAGAGCCGGGGAGAGCAGGACGGGCCCTCCCAGGACACCATTCACCTGGCGAGGCTGGGCCCGGGCTTGGCCAAACAGGAGCTCTGTGGACAAGGCAGAAAGTCCGCGTGGGGACACACAGAAGGAGCCCCCTCAGGGACTCCCTTTTCTGGGGAGCCGGGCACGAGCCGGGGTCCGTACGTGCTGCTGCTGTACGTGTATCCCTCGTCCCACTAAAGCCCTGGCCGGGCTGGGGCTGCGCGAGGGTGGGATCTCAGCAAACATCATGTTTTCCCGAAGGTCCCAACCTCCCCTTCCCCGCTCTGGCGCTGCTCCTAGCGGCAGGGAGGGAAGGTGGGTGGCGGGGTTGGAGGCTGGTGTTGAAGAAGCAGCTACAAGTTCAGATGTTGCCTCCTCATCTGAACTGGCTACGGTCTAAAACTGCAGCATCTCACCCGAACAATGTTCCAAAAGGCTCTGGGAAGCGTTCCCTGCTAACATCTGCAAAACCTCATTGTCCTCCTTAAAACTCGCCTTTGCCCAGATGCCTACGAAAGACCAACAACAGTTAAGGCAGGGGATGGTGGGGCTCCGGCCGGGCTGCCAGGGGGGAGCTTTCGCCTCTGAGCAGCCCCATGCCGCGTGATGGCATGCCGAGGCGGATTTATTTTGGGCCCAGCCTGCTGCAAACCTCCCCCTCACTCCAGCCTCTCGTTCCGGCTGCAAAACCCAGGTTTC